TATTGGATTTACTATTTAAAATTTGTTTCCTTATGGCTTTCTCTTTAATTTCCTCTTCTTTAGCAGGGCTGCATGAAGGTAAGCTAAGTCCCAAAGCTATTCTATCCTAAGTTCTGGTATTTTATATATATAAAACTTCAGGGCTGATGGCAATGATACCTGGGATTATTTATGGGTTTTCATAAAAAAGAAAGAGGAAAATACAGAATTACATGGCTTCTCTTTTCCTTCCCCTTTTCCCAACCCCCTCCCCACAGAGGAGTTTAATTTTAAATGATAAATGTGGAAATTAGAGACCGTCGAGAAAATCCAATTTGGTGAGGAGTTTTAAAAATCCCATAATAAACGCAGAGTGAAATGTATGATTTAATGCGGGGCGCCAATGGCTGCTATTATGTGCTATTAGCAAATCGGGGTTGAGAGTGAATCTTTATCACTTGGTGAGTGCGGGCTAGGCCTGCCTTTGCTTCTGCTATTGATTTGTAGCCGCTTGTCATAATGACATCGGGAAGCAATGAATGGAAGATGTGCTTTTGATAGGATTGAAGGGGTGCAAAGGGGGGAGAAAAAATTCAGCAAGTTTTCTATCTCTTCTGCCTGATTAGATTTTTTTCTTCTTTTAAGAGCTTTCACATTCCAATAAAAATGCTAAATCAGCTCTGAAGCAGAATTGTTAGGGAGTAAATAGCTAGTCACATTTAAAGGAGGAAAAGATCTGACTTTACAGCTCTGACTTTACAGCAGTGGATGAATCTAAAGAATATTTCTGGCTCCACAAAAATTATAGTAGTGGGTGGTGTGAGGGTGGTTGAGAGCTGGCAAGAGCACCGGCACTGATAGCCCTGCAGACAGCCAGACCCAGATAGCTGGTGTGTGCTGCTGTGTGTGCATGATGTGGCTCATCAGAATGCATGGGAATTAAATCTCCGAAGTGTCTTTATTTAAGAAGAAGAGTGTATGTTTCTTGATCTCTGAACCAAAAGTGCCTGAAATGAAGAACCCAGACTTTGCCTTATAGCAGCCAATAATAAAGGTCTCCTTTGCCATCTCGGAAAGGAAGATTTTTGTCACTTTAATTATAGGCATTTCTCATCAGAAACCTAAACCAGAGTTTGATGGAAGGAAGTATAATTGCTGCCCTGTTTGGAGAATGCCTTGTGCCTGTACTGGAGGGTTTTCTGGAAGACAGGCTCTTGGGAAACAAGAACAAGCTTACTGCCCAGCCATGCATCTGGTGCACATGGCGAATGAGACAAAATCCATGTGTGCTCAGGGGCCTGTCCGAGTACGAGTCTATTTGTGGTCGTCCCCATGAATCTGCTTTTCTGATCAGGGGATCCATGCCATTTTAATTTCCTGCCTCTCAGTCGTTCTACTCTCCCTGGGAAGGGGGGACCTCTGTGCATCCCGACGAGCAGAGCTCCACTTTTGAGTTCCTTCTTATGAAAGTCTGTACATGTCTTCTCTCAGTACTAGTAGCAGTAGTCCAGTCAGCTATGCTGAAGAGCTCTAGGCTGAGTAAGGGTTGTGTCTCTGATATTCAGGTCCTCCCTTTTGACCTAACCAACCTCAGCTACTCTTATTTATGGGAACCTTCACGGTACAGCCGAATGAACCTGGTTTCCAGGGCTCACTGTCAAGAGTATGAAATGGCAGATTAGAAATCAATGCAGAGAGTCCAAGTGCCTACTTCATCATTCAGGAGAAAGAAATACAGTATTTCTGGTCTGAGCCTTGCACTCATTAAAATCACATCCTTTAAAAAACCCTTTAAATTAAAACAATGATCAGTGGAGATGGGGAGAATTTCATGCAGAGGGAATCTTCCAAAGGCCGACAGGCTTAAGGCAGTGTGCAGATTTAACGCGGTGTTTACCATACCACCCACTGGTTTTACTGGGCACTCCAGGTGCGTGCAGTGCTTGCGTTCAGAAGAGTCTGTAATCTGGTGAGACCATAACACAGCAATCACGGGCAGCTGCAAATATCTGGGCCAGGGAATGGCCAGACAGGGCTGGTGTTGGGGGGTGCGGGGGGCTGTGGGAGCTGGCCAGCACCCGCGGGGACACCCTGGCCCGCAGCGGTGACCCTGGGGCGAGAGGCGGGGGGCCGGGGGTGCGGAGCACGGAGCACGGCCGCGGGCGAGACCAGGGCAGCCGTGTCTGCTGGCCAGCGGGCTGGGACGGTCCCGAGCCGGGAGCCCCAAGCCGGGAGCCCAGAGCCCCGAGCTGGGAGCCCCAAGCCGGGAGCCCCAAGCCAGGAGCCCTGAGCCCCGAGCCGGGAGCCCCAAGCCCGAAGCCCCGAGCCCCAAGCCGGGAGCCCCGAGCTGGGAGCCCCAAGCCCGAAGCCCCGAGCCGGGAGCCCCAAGCCCGAAGCCCTGAGCCCGAAGCCCCGAGCCCCGAGCCTGGAGCCCTGAGCCGGGAGCCCCGAGCTGGGAGCCCCGAGCCAGGAGCCCCAAGCCCGAAGCCCCGAGCCCTGAGCCGGGAGCCCCGAGCCGGGAGCCCGAAGCCCCGAGCCCCGAGCCGGGAGCCCCGAGCTGGGAGCCCCAAGCCGGGAGCCCCAAGCCCGAAGCCCCGAGCCCCGAGCCGGGAGCCCCAAGCCCGGAGCCCCGAGCCGGGAGCCCAGAGCCCCAAGCCCGGAGCCCCGAGCCCCAAGCCAGGAGCCCCAAGCCCGGAGCCCCGAGCCGGGAGCCCCGAGCCCCGGGACAGGCGCAGCCGCGCTCGCGGCCCGTCCCCTCCTCGCCGGCCGGCTGCGGGCGGGCAGCGAGCGCGGAGCCCACCGCCGAGCACGGCTCCGGCTGCGCTGCCCGGGCGAGCTGCCCTCAGCGTCTCTGCGGAACGGGGCCCGCCAGCTCCCGGCAGCAGCCGCAGCCCTTGGGCCGTGCGAGCGCCCGCGGGGACCCCGGGGCGCCGGGCACGGGCCGTGCTGGCTGCCGCCGGCTCCCGGGCCCCTCACCCCGGGAGATGGAGCCAGCGGAGCCCCAGCGCGGGCTTCGGAGAGGAGCCCGAATCCCTCGTGCCGCCCGGGGACGCCGGCCGGGTCGCGGGGCTTAGAGGGGCGGCCTGAGAAACGGGCTGGGCGACGACGGCAAAGGCTAGGGGTGTGGAGATCGCTCCAAGCACAGCTGAGATCAGAGACCATGAGGTAATGCTGCTGCAGGAAGAATGCCCTTTGGAGACAGTGCGGAGAGAGTAGAAAGAATCCAGCAATTACATGGATTTGGGAAAATTGTGCAGCTCTTTGAGTATGACATCTAACTTAAAATCTAGGTGGCAAGAGGAGCAATGGAAGAGATAGCAAGAAAAGATTAATTACATTGATAATCTATGTTTTGAGTTGGTGATTGGGTTTTCACTTGCAGAGAATTGCACTTAAAGAATGGCGCCTACAGAGATGTTTATATCCTTGGTGTTTTATAATGATTTAGCAAGGTCAGAGCAGGATATGATTATGACATTTCTGATGTCTGACTTAGGAAAAAGGTATGGGGTGGTTCATCTGTTTTCGCTTGTAAGTGGTTGGCTTGTTATTTATGCTTCTTATTTTCCATACAGCAGAAACTTACTAGCCAGTGTTTTGAAATTATTAATAATTATGTTTTATATTTTTCCTAGCAGATTTGTGTGTTTACTTATTTAAAATGGCTATTCTTTCTGATAGGATACTTCAATGCCTTCGTGAACTAAGGCGCTGAAAGCAATTTGTGTCCTAAGTAAAGGTGGTCTTACTCCACTTGAAGGTAAAGTATCCCTGATAATAGGATTCACCATTTTCCATTGACTTTGACGAGATCAATGCCAGAAGCTGTTCATCTTTTGGACGTGTCTCTCAGCCATCAATTTCACCCCTGTGCAGCACAAGCCTGAGACTGTCAGCAGGTGTCTGAAACCTGGCGTACCTTCTCGCCACACCTGCAAGCTTTGATGAAGGTTTCACTACAAAAACCGCTTGTAGCAAATTTTTCTTGGCTTACTTGTTTCTGTTCTGGAAATGCTCCCTCCATTTCCAGTGTAGACCTGTTAGCTCTTTCACCCAGATATGACCGACAGGATTTGGTCCTCAAACCCTCAGATTCCAGTTCAGATTGCTTTTATTTTTATCTGAACAAAAGTTGATTTTTCTTGTGTGTGTAGGCCAGCTGTTGGACAGGAACACGGCGTGTCCGTCTGTGCTGCAGAGCAGTGTGTTTCAGAGCGGCCGTGCTCTCGGTGCAGGACACTGGGATGGCTCTGACGGCGGGAGGAGGGAATGCCAGCGCTGGAGGCAGAGGCCGTGGTCGGCATAACCCGGCACCTTGAGCGGGCCTGGGTGAACGGGGCTGGCATCCTTCACCCAGCCAGAGCTCCTGCAAGGCAGCTCTGCTAGGAGCGACCTTGTGTAACCTGCTTGGCTTTAACCGGGGTAGCTGGTGCCCATCTCTGCAGAAGGGGCCTGGACTCGGTGCTCCTCCTCAGGGTGAGCTGTGAAACGGGCAGAAACACAGGGAGCATTGAGAGGAAGGAGGGAGAGCTGTGCACGAAGGGGGCTGGTGCTCCTCCTGCCTCGAAAGCAGCGTGTTGGTAGGGGCGTTGCACAGCTTCTCTCACGCTGGAAGTATGCTTCAGCTCAGCTGTAGAGTGTGTAGAGTTTAAGAAGGTGGCCTTTTAGCTAAGCCATTAACCATCTCCATTACTGGGTTTCCATCATGATTGTTCCCAGCAAGACAGACCCACAGGTGTCTGGTCCTGACCTGCAACTTCACCTGGGGCTTGTAGTTTCATAGAATCACAGGATCATTTAGGTTGGAAAATACCTTTAAGATCATCTGGTCCAACTGTTAACCTCACACTGCCAAGTCCACCACTAAACCATGTCCCTAAGTGCCATGCCTACACATCCTTTAAATACCTCCAGGGATGGTGACTCTACCACTTCCCTGGGCAGCCTGAGTTTGGAGGAATTTGTCTCACTTAAAACGTTCACCACCCTCATCACAGATCTCTTCTCTCTGTATTTACCAGATTTTCCCCTGCAGAAGGTGGAAGGAGACACGGAGCACTTAAACCTATGCTTGTTGCAACAGAAATAAAGGTAAGAGGATTCTATCAAGAATCTACCTGCTTAGACATGCTTATGGCACACTGCTTGCCAAACTATCCCTTCCTCTGCACTGCTGCAAGCTTAGATTTTCACTTCACACAAATGTACTGTGCACCTGATCCTTCTCTCTTGTCCAGAGCTAATGAGATGAAGCTGAACCTGTTGCTGAGTGCAAGCCTGGTGGAATGGATTTTAGGACAAAATAAGTGCTGTTTTAAATATATAGTTTTTAATTTGGAGTTGAGCTTTGATACTCTTGTAGAAAGTCTGTCTCTGGCCTGTGACTGGATTGTCGTGAGTTGGGGTGGAGGAATGTGTTGTTCCACGGTGGAGTGGAGAAGGAAACTATGCCCTACTGGGTTGTGGGATTTTTAAATTTTGTTGATGTTCCTGAAGGCTGGGCATATTACAGTAAGTAGTGGCTGAAGAATTAATGGGCAGAGCTCAGAGGAAGCAGTTGAAAATGCATGATGAATGAGGCTGGTGCAAAGACCCTTGATTCACCTTTACATTGTGCGGCGTAACAGGAAATATGCTAAAAGATATTAAAGTTGCACAATTAACTGTGCAAATATAAAGAAATGCCTAAATATGAGAAGTTCCCACTCAGTCAGAATCTCCTCACATGCTTACTTCTTCCACTGCCCTATCTAGCAGCAGTCTCGCTCCCAGTAAAGCTTCTCATCGACTCGGGAGTTTGGGGAGCAGGACCGCACTCCCTCCTTGCCGGCTCTGGCTCAGCACCATCCCACTGTGGGCAGAACATGCCCTCAGACACCCAGCCCGGGCTTGCTCCTTGCCAGCCATCCAGCACGGGTGGGAACAAGGCCCAGGGCTCGAGGATGTAACTGGGACTTACGGGAAGGGATGGCGGTGTATGCAAACAGCCTGTCTTCATTTCTGGGCCCTGAGCGTTCATCTGCCCTGCTTTTACATTAATCTTGTTGGTATTTCCGTGGTTGACTGTTTGTATTGGTGGATGTTCAGAAAAGAATCTGCTTCCTCAGTTCTACCCTGAAAAAGAAGAGAGCAGCCACCAGAAGAGGGAATGTGCACAGGACTGTGCAGCAACAGAGAGACCATCCAGGAGATGCTGCTGGAACCACGTTTCATTCCCTCGGTGTTCTAAATGTTGTATTGCACCTCAGCCACTCTTTTGCAGTGTTCCAGCTGCCCGTGGAGGCTTTGTACTACATTCAGTAGGCAAGTTCTTCATATCCAGGTGGGAAATTAAATACATTCTTCTTCCATTTAGAAGAGGAAATGTACATGTTTGTTTAAAAGCAGCCTCTTCCCCGTTTACACATGTTGAAATTGCAGTTTATTCACCTGCCCTGGCGGAATCCTAATATGTTGTACCTGAAGGTAAATCCCTTCTCCACCCTGCTACTTTTCAAGATCTGTCTAGTCACTCTAATAATAAAGCTATTATGAAAAAGAAAGGAGCACAAAGAGTGACAAGGAACACATAGATATTTTATAAAATTAAGAACTGAAAATGAAAACATTTGTTTTAGATGTTTATGGTTTGCCCACTGAAGGTGCTAACTGTAGGCATAGTAGAGATACTGGGCGGAAATGAGAGTTGTTTGCTTAACTATGTGATACGGGAAGAAAATATTTTATTGGAAGTTGTTAAAACCAAGCCAGACATGGTTGTGCTACAGTCTCATGACTGCTTTCTCCATTCTCAGATATAAACCTGTGCTCAACGTCACAAGCTGCTATCCTCTGGAGAGAGCTACATACTGCCACAGAAATTCAGTGCAAACTCTTGATGTGTCTTATTCTGCTTTTTTGCTGCAGACAAAATAGAGGGGATTACCGTCTGACCTATTGTTGTTCAAGAGCGTCTGTTGACTATGAATCACAAAGGGTTGGACTCTTTAGGAATCCATCTTACCTCTCAAGAGCTAGTCGTTTCAGCATGCTTGTACAAACAGAACAGATTATTTCTACAGGCGTGAATGAAACTGTGGGAGCCCTTTGCTAGATGGCAAATGCTATTTTGGTCCAGTCTTTCGTGGTGTTTGATAATAAGATAGCAACTTGATTCTCTGCATTTATTTATGAAAGTAAATGGAGGCTAGGAATCAACTTTGGAAAGCTTTTGGTGCTAATGCAATATTGTTTCTAGAATGGTTCCTCATGTGATATCTCTAAAAAGACGAATCAGCAAAAGTACAAAAGGCAGCATGCCAAACTGTTTTCTGTCTTGTCCTGTTGGCTCTTAGGTGCAAATTTTATGATAGCAGTAGAGGAGGCTGATACGACAACAGCTTTCAAACATGAAGAAGCTGCTGCCAAAGGGAAGGGAATAATCTGTTTTCTGTGTTTAAGAATTAATGGCTTAAATAGCAACTAAGTTAGATGAGCAGCCCTGACCCTGAAGTCCATGGACCCTTGGGGTTCTTTTGAAAGCTCTCCGTTCCATCTGTCTGTAATGTTAGCAGACATGTGCATTCTCTAGTTAAGCATAACTGTTCATATTGTGAACCATTTCATATGTAGATTTTCGTTGTCATCTTCTGGAACAAGGTTGAGTATATACTGACAAGTTCCCGAGCAACCTGGTCGAATTAGACCTGTTTTGAGCAGGGGATCAGCCTACATGACCTCTGGAGGTGTCTTCCACTCTAAATCATTCCGTGATTCTGTATTACCTGTCTTCTGGGAGCTCAGAGACATCTTTTCGCAAGGTGGCAGGGAGAGGCCAACTTTGGGCCTTCTTTGTCCCTGCTCATTGCAGATCATAGATGACCTTTAAAGGTCCCTTCCAACTCAAACCACTCTATGATTCTATCATTTATATGTTTTGTCCCAAGGATACTGGGATTATGTGGCCCATGGCATGACTTTGAGCAACCTGGTGCAAGTTGCACTAACTTCTAATGAATACTTAGGTCTGTGTGAGCTGAGAGATATTAATTGTGCTAAGCCCTTTCCTTTATTCTGTGACAAGGGCAAAGTAGCACAAGTCTAGCTAGCTTGACCTTTTAGATAGGACTACCTGTAAAATAAACCAAGACTCAAGACAAAAGACACTAGTGAAACCTAGGCATCTTTAAGTTTGAAGAGTTTTTTGGGGTAGTAAAGGGCATTTGGGGAGTTTGATTATTTCTGTAATAGGCATTGATGTAATTACAGTTCCAAGGAAGAGCTTTAAACGTAAATGTTGCAGGGAGAAATTGGCACATGGAATTTATTTTCTGGCAGCTAGGTGAGGAGGAGAAAGAAGAATAGTTATCACACTGTCATCTTTAGTCCTTGACGGGACCCTGCATTACCTGTCGTGTTACTGTTCCTCACTGGTCTCACTGTAGCCAAAAGGAGAGGAAGATGCACTGTCAATACATGGGGACAGCTGAAGCTTTAGACATTTCCTCTCGTCTTACATTTGCTGTACCCATCATGTTCCTCTGCTTTGTATTTCATGAATCTAGCATAAACCTGGACATAGAAACCTCTAAAACCACAGTGGAAAGGTGAAACAGTGCAATGCCAAACCATAGCATAATTTTGGTAAGACTTTCACAAGAGACTGAAGCTGTGCATTACCTGAACTATTTTTATCCCTCTGTCCCTCTTTTATATGCTTTTCTTTGGTTTAAAAGGGAGGAGGAGAGAGTGGACTTTAACAGTAGCTTCTAAAATTGTCTCTTTTCTTTCAGTAAGTACAGGTGATATATCTTCTAGAGCACCTAAAAGCACACTGATCATTTTCAATTTGGGAGCTTTTATATAATAACACTGTGTTTGTTATAGAAGACAAGTTCAGGGATGTTTATTGAGCTACTGTCTGTTAGAAAAGGGTCTCCATTATGTTGGGGGTCCAAAGCTCTGTCCCCCTGCACATGAACCCTTCTACTCCCCAGCACCAGCTAGGGCTCTGGTTCCAAACATGACCATCTGACGCTCCGCTTAGAGTTTCTTAAACTCCTCAGCAAAGATGAGAACTCTCAGACAATAGGAATATAGGAAGATGATGGATTGGGATAAATTAGGAATTGACTTAATCATGATCATCTTAACAAGATGCAGAAAAATTCCACTGGAGGCAGTTACAAGGCAGCCTGTCCACTGCCAAATGTTCTTTCTAATTCTTTCCTTAAAAAAAAAACAAAACAAAACAAAACACCTCTCTTACATCATAAAGCACAAGTGCCTTTGGAGCAATGCCATCCAAGGATTAATTAGGTGTTATGGAAAGTATTGTCTTGTAGTTGTGCATTTTTCAGGGTAGTTCATTTCTGTCCTTGAAATGTAAGCATTTAAATATTCATGGGCTTTGCTGTAGACCCCTTCTCCAGAAAGTAAAGGCGCGGTGTGACATTTGAGGAAGGGTGCAGGATGCTCGGTATTCACTGCTTTGGGATGGAGGGACAGCAAGGTGGTCTCTAAACTATTTCCAGTGCTCAAGCACTGTGGTGTTAAAGCTAACGGGCAGCATGACAGCCATACATCACGTTAGCAAGCAGAGTGCTCACTCCCACGTGCTCTGCTGGGAGGCAATGGTTCTGTGGGACACGTGCCAGCGCTCCGCGAGCATCCTGTGGCCATATATCTGGCCGGGCAGGCAGGAGGAGTGTGTTAAGCAGTAGCCTCACTCGCAGGCTTCCGGGATGACAAATATTCCTTAAAGGAGTCCATTAAAGTAAAATAAACCCATCTTAATGTACATAGGGAACATATATAACAAAATATATGAAGCACGTGTATATTTGCTGTATTTAAAATCTGTATTTGTGAGAACGGCATAGGATCTACTCTGTATGAGGTACATTCAGAGCTGCTCAGTGGGAGACAGTGTGTCTTGAGACAATTTGTTGTCTGCTGAAATATGTTCATATTCTGAGTTAGGTATATAAGATACAGGAGAACAAAGTACTTGTTTTCATGGAGATGTGATCCAGCTGGTCTGTTGAGCCTTTGGAGCACGCCCTTTATGGTGCTCGAGAGTAGATAGCCTTTCTAATCATGAAGACATGTGA